TGTTTAAAAGAGAGAGAGAGAGAGAGAGAGAGAGTGAGAGGGTGGAAAAAGAGAGGTAGGGGATGAAATCGATAAACCAAGATGGCGGTTCACAGTGCCGCAGAGTACCGCAGCCAAGCTACCACGAGATTATCCTCGGCTGCTCGACCTACCCATAGCACGGTTACAGATATATGTCGGCCGCATTGTCGTAATCACGATGGTGAGCTTTACCCTCTCGCATCAGTTGTTATCTCTCTCACTCTCTCGAACCCTTACACACACTTTCTATCCATCTTTCATACCCTTTATTCCTTTCGCTATCGTCAAATAAAACAAAGTCGCGGCGATAATAAATCGTCGATATAAAAACTCCTAAGACTATTTCTCTTCTCGATCTTCTTAATCTTGACGATGCATCCACGTGGCCGGATCGTACGATAGTCTTACGCCACTGGTTGATATACCAAGGCAGTGATAGAAACCCGTCTGTGGTCAGCCGGTCGACTCCTGCCAGACTCTGAATTAACCGAACCATTTGCGATCCTACCGATATTTTTTAAATACATCAATGATTCGAAAATGATCGATTTCGAGATAAAGAAAATAAATAATAAGAGTTATATTTTTCGTAGAAAGGAGAAAAAGAAAGCACTAAGAGCTTTATTCCGATTAAAGTCAATATTTTCTGACTGGTTGGGTTACGAGATGATGAGAAAGAGAATTTCAAAGGAAGAAAGAAAAAGAGAAGGTCCATTTGGAGAAGAAATCGAATGAAAAATAAAAATGAGAATTCTATTGCGCGTTGGGGGAGGCTGGTCTTGGGAAGGTGGAGCAATACTTCGGATGTTTCCTTGCTAGAAAATTTTCACGAAATGCGACTTCAGCTCCTCTCTGTTTTTACCTTTCTTTCAGTCTTTCTTTCTTTCTTTCTTTCTTTCTATTCGATCTGAAGAAGCCGACGCGCGTCGTAAGCGGGAAAGATAATTCCACCTTCCCATCCTGAAGTCCCAACAACTCCTCGTCTTCTTTCGATATCACGTTACTCTTTTCGTTCCAACACACAGCATCCAATCCTCTTCTCGAAGAAAGGAAAGACAGAGAGAAAGAGAAAGAGAAAGAGAAAGAGAGAGCGAGAGCTAGAGAGAGAACCAGCAAGCTTGCTAGCTAGTTCCTCCTAGTGGGTGGTTGTGTTCGATCCGCATGCTCGACTTGTTTCTCGCTCGTGAGGAAAATTCCCGACGTTGTAAGCCACTCTCATCTCCTCGAGTTCCATCCGCGCCCGATGTGTAACGCCTTTATATCACGCGTAGTAGATGACGTGCAACGTAAGTAACGTACTTCTCCTTCTTCCTATGAAAAGAACGAGTGCTATTACACACTGACGTAAGAAACTACTATAGAGTTAAGAGCTTTCTCCTCTCTCTTCTACCTCTACGATAGATTCCACATACAAAACTGTCATATGGGAACTTTCTTGCTCAGCATTTCGCTACACTTTTTTTCACCAATAACATTTTATCTCTTTCGAGTTTAATATTGTAACCCGAACCAGAGGAGCTTTATTGGAAAGGTTTCGATGCTGTACGACTTGGGGATATCAGAAATCATTCGAATACAAATCGATGAACAAGATTTTCTTTGAAATCAATTTCAATATTCTTCAAAAAAGTATAGATAGCAGAAAATATACCGACACGAAAGCTTCTACTTTTCTTTTTTTTTTTATAAAATATATTTCTGAAGGAAACGTAGCAGTCGGTAGTAGTTTGTACAGAGATACAAGGCAGTTGTTTACGAAGAGATCAGAGAACGTGGGTGTAATCCTACTTCGTACGACTTTGTCCTCTCTCTCTCTCCCCATCTTCCTCCGTTAGGTCGTGTTTGCTGGACACATTTCTCCTTCACTATACACCAATCCTGTCCCTTGGTCCGAAGTAAGCTTGGAAGCAACCTCCCCTACGACGGCTCAACTACCTCTTTGTTCATCCGTATTCACTGGCACTTTCCCTCCCTCCCTTCGTGTCTTTTCTACCCTTCGTCGTAGGTAGATGCGACGACTGCTGTCAAGGACATTCTATCGATTCGTCGTTACCGTCAAATGCAATAATACGACTGCACGTCTATCAAACTTTGTCAATTTATTTTACGCAAGGTAATACTTTATGATTTATGCGAAATGAACATTTCGTTTTGAAAGAGGATTTACAAATATTTTAAGATGATAAGAAATCGAAGGGATACAGGGATAAAAAAGAAAAGAAGAAGAAAAAAAAAAGAAAAAGAGGAAAGTAGAGTGTCGTCTCGTGTCGCGCGCTGTTTAACACTCAAGGAGAAAGACGGCCGTCGTGATGCCGAGAAAGCCGACCCAAGAGACCGTTTACGCGAGATAACTCGAAGAACAGCTTCCGAAGTCGTGTCTCGTATCATGTTGCGAGAAAAAGGCAAACGTGTCCAAGCACGATTTCGAGTGGAAGATATCTGAGAAAGAGCTAGTCTTTCGATCGGTTCGGGATCATGCGATCACGTTTTTTCTATCAGTTCCTCTCATTTATTTTCTCATCCTTCTACTACTACCTTTATTTTTTTCTCGCGACACGATGGAATTTATACTCGGACGTTCCATGTTTTTTTTTTTTAAAGAGGCAGAAAAAAAGAAAGAATAAATGAATCGATGGTAATATACGTTAAAGGAGCACGTGGTCGAGGTAAAGCTCAAAAGTCAACAGCTTCCCGCGACAAACAGCCGCAGCATCGCGTGTCATGAAGGTTGCTAGTCACGCAATGGAAAATGGGTATTAAAGCCGAACTTTCTTTCTACTTCCGTACAATGCACTTTGCTCGCTGCTATCAGTGATAGCACCGACCTGCTTGTTACGACCTCTTTCACGATATTCGATATAGCCTACTACTCTTCTATTTGCTACCCCGTTGCCGTAAACGATCGATTTGGTTAACAGTAAATTCAACTGGATAATTTCAATTCACTTTTGGACAAATAGATTGGCCGAATAATTGAATAAATCAAATAAATCTAGATGGGGTAATTTTTCGTCAAAGGGGGATTTTTAATTAGATCTCGAAAGGAATATCTAAGAATTTTCTTCTGGTCCTTGATCACGACTTACCCGCATCCTTAAGAGAAAAAGGCCACAAAGGAAATTGAATCTCTCTTTCTCTCTTTTTCTCTCTCGCTATCTCTGACCGTTCGCATCGTGAGAAATGGCCGCAAGCATTTCGATTTCCTGCACGGCGACATCCGAAAGACGGGATCTCAAATGTTACCAAAGGTATTTTGTACGGTACGCTAACGCTCTGATAAATACACTTTGTAGATAATAACCGACAGTACCCGAATCTGGGTCGTGTCAACTTCCCCTACTGAAACTTTCCTATCATCGATTTGTTAACGTAATTCATACATTAACGAAAGATAAATCTTTCGAGTAAGACCGATAATATAAAACTTTCGTGTACACGTTGTTATCCTAAATCGAACGACCAATTCAACGAAATCATTATCGTAATCTATAAAACTGATTTAATCTATTCACAAACGAAATTTATAAAATCGAGTAAGGTTTACGTGGAAAATTATTTTGGTTTCAACGAGAGAGAGAGAGGAAAGAAGTGAAGTGATCGAAGAGAGATGAACGCACAACAGCAGCCATATTCTATGGTAAGAAACATCTGATGTATCCTGCGGATCCTAGCAATCCTAAGGACACGTCCAGTCGCTTATTCGGAACAACAGTAGTAGGATCGTGTAGAACGTGAAAAGCGTGGGACGTCACGCGAAGGTCGCAGAGCCCGAAAATCCATAACCACCCTCCCACCCCCGTTACGTTTCGCGAAGTTGCGCTTGCGCGACCCAAGGCTCTTTACCAAAGAAACGACGGCTAATGGCCCGTCCTCGTTACAATACATTTTTCGACAATTACTTATCGACCGATTTTCAAATATATTTTCAAATATATTTTCAATACATTTTTCCATCTCCTAAAGCAAACCAAATCTAGAAAGAATTCTTCTTAAACAAACATTTATCTAATATCCTCGTTTCATCGAATCAGCGATTTCGAAATTCTCGAATATCCGCGATAATAGAATAAAATGAAGTTCTGATTTTTCCTGGACTTGACCGATAATATCACCGTCACGGATATGAAAAAACTAATTAATTAGGAACGTTATCTCCATGACACTACGAATATGAAGAACAAAAGAAACAAGAACAACTAAGTGGATGAGAGATCAGACGAAAGAAAAATATAATCCAATTAACTTGGAGAGACGGAATTTGATGTTTTACTAAATCAAGAAGTCGGATTATCTTTATTAATTAGCTCGATTTTCGAAGATGTCCTTCATTAATTAATTCATTCATTCATTCATTCGATAATATTCAACTCGTTCTGTAACATAGAAACTGTTTCTACTTTTTCTTCTTCTTTTCCTTCACTTTGAATAAATAAAAAGGACGAAAAAAAAATGTAATTTATAATTTTTTTATTGCCAAGGAATCTTCATTGAGATATCAAAAGTGAACGAATATCGAATTGCATAATGATGTTAATGCGACGACGATAATCAATCCAGAGATTCGCTACAGTTCATTATCGATAGATTTAACGTGCAATTACAATGATGAGCATTCGAATGAGTAGCAGGACGTATTCGAACTGTCAGTGTTATCAACAACTCCGTTATAATCTCAGGCAGATCGACAATTAATTATTTTCGAATAATAACAATAGTAATGTGCATAACATTGCGAGTTATACACTTGAATTCTCTCGCCTACAATAATCGAGGAATCTATGATTGTTTTACGATGATCATTGGATTAATTAATTATCTTCATCAATTATCAGATAAATGAAATCAATTATTGTTCTAATTATCTTATAAGCAAATTAGCAAATTTTTATTTCCACTTGGTGCCTGTAAAGAAGAAACATCCTGGAGCGTAAAAAAAAAAAGAGAAGCATTGAATTTATATCCAAATTCAAAGCACTCACCAACTCAGGAGGACACGAGGAAACCACCCATGATGCTGCTGCTGCTGTTGTTGTTGTTGTTCCTGTTCGACGTTGATCCCTGAAACAAGAAAGTAAGTAAAAAAATAAGAAGAAATAAAAGGAGATTACAAAACGAAACGATATAATTAACAAGGCACTCGAGACGACAAGCGATGGCATCAAATAAGTATGGTAGAGGAAATGCAATAATAAAGCTAAAGGGTCTTCTCTCGTGTGGTAAGTAAAGAAGAATAAACGCGACCGTACCCTTCGACTTTTACCAACCGACTAAATTACATTTCATTTCAACGAACTTCATTTACCTCGGAAAATTTAATGACCAAATATCCGCGTATTATAAATACAATTATCCTCTCTTAATTTTTATATTCTATCGTTGAACAATTATAATCCTTTGTGTTTTCTCCGTTATAGATTTCTTATAATATTCTAGTAATAAAAAATATATTATACGTGTAATAAAATTTATCAATGCAACACAAATCTTGCAATTGTCGAGGTGGAAACATTTTTACAACAATTTATACGAGTCAAAACCACAAAATATCAATCATAAGAAATGTTTCGCAGCTCGGATAAAATTTGTCGATCCAGCAACGTCAGTTTCGCCCTTCCCTGTCAAACACATAAAATCAAGCAAGGGATAAAGGCCACACACACATATATATATATATATATATTTGTCTCTCTCTTTCTTCGTTCCCTCCCTTTTCGTATAATCCGCGAGAGGAGACGAGGGTTGTTTTCGCGAGTGCGGTTTTCCTCCAGCTCGGTCGAAGTCGAACTTGAGGGAGTCCCGAGGGATTCCCAAGGGAGACTAGTACTTGGAAAGAAAAGAGAGAAAGAAGGAAAAGGACCCTTTCCACGTACGCAAGAAGCATCGATACTTATCCGCGACCAATACCAACGCGGTGCATCGTCTAATTGAAAGCGACGTCACTCTTGCTCGTTGCATCCCCGTCGGGAACCTAACACTACCCCTTCCAACTACCCTTCCAACTACCCTTTCCTACTCTCTCCCTTTCGAGTAATCGACTGAACTCGGCAATGGATAATGACATCGAGAATAAATATACGAATAATGATGATTTACAAACTACTCTGTGTGAAAATAAAAATGATGCGCTCTTAATTTGAATAAAAAGTGATTGACGTGTGCGTCTACTCTCTAAATAAAATTAATGACTTCGTCGTGATACGAATTTATTTTGGGATATGTTCCACAAATATTATATTTAATATATTGATAAAATTTGTTATAGATTTATTCAATATTATAATAGAAAATGATTGATCCAATCTCTACGTAGAAATGAATTATCTCGTGTTCGTAATACAAATATCAGTCAATCAACGTGTCAATCTACAGATACGCTGTTTGATTTATCAAACGATTGTGGAGACCGATATTAATACCGAATAAGTACTAACACTGTAGCAACAAATAGTAGATAGATAGATCTGTTAATTGATCCTCGAATACTTGGAAGCTTTCAATAATAGCTTAGAATAGTAAGCGAGATAGCATCTAGTTTATTCGAACGACCATTAAGGTGACTTTTGACTCAACGAATATCGATGTCTGCGAGTAGTAGTCATGTTGCATCGTCTAATTGAAAGCGACGTCCCCGTTGATGCATTGTGCCGATAGGGACACAGAAGGGCTGTCGCAGAAAGAGAGACGGAGAGAGAGACGGAGAGAGAGACGGAGAGAGAGACGGAGAGAGAGACGGAGAGAGAGAGGGAGAAATCAACGAATACCGAAAGTGCCGACTATTCCCTTGCGAATCGGAGTTTGTTACTCAACTCGTCCTATCTAACCGGAAATAATGATACCGATTCGCTAAAATTCCCACTACACGATCAAAATCAAGGCAAACGAAAACGATCTCAACGATCCTTTGGATGGATCGTAAATCCTTTTTGGATTTTTTTCAACGAACAATCAATTTTAATTGATTCCACGCTTTACGATCGACATAAATATCGTATGTTCGTATAGCAATTAGGGTTGAATATTGGCCTTAAGGCTACATCGATTAGACAATGATTAACCGCGCAAATGACGACGGATAGTTCCGATAAGATGACGTTCTGGTAATTAAGCGATAGCGACTCCGATTTGCTCTCCGGAGTAATTAGCCAGGTAGCGCATGCCATATCTCCTGGATGGTCTATTGATTCGGCTAATGAACTCGGACCCCAGCCAGCTTTTGCTCCTGGCTAATTAAAAATACTTTCTATTCTTATTCAATTTTGTGTATTTAAAGGACAATTTATATATTCTATTAGGATCAAATTAATACGTAGGAACCAACAAAACGTTCAATAGAATTTTCATTGTTTTATCAATTCATTCGAGGCGCATTGATTTAACAATTAACTCGATTAAGGTAGATACGATACTCGCGTGTTGTACGTGTGTGTGTGCACGCACACACGGGGACCGTGTAACTTCGTATTTGATCTTGCAACAGTTTCCATGCAAGTAATTATGCGAGTAGATGTATCTGTTCAGTCAATTGGCACAATCTGTTGGTCTCGTTGCACGCGACAAAACACCAATCCAAAAGCTATTGTTCAATTTAGCTAAGAGAGTGAGATAGATATATATATACAGATAGAGAATTGGGAGGGTGAAAGGAAGATCCAAAGAAGACCAACGCAACCCCCATAGCAAGCAACGTACTACATGGCTACCCACATCACAGCAATTATTTAGATTGGCACGTGTGAAGTGCTCTCTTGTTACCCTTTTCCCCCGTTCCTCGAACTCGCTTTTCTCTCCCTTGAACGTTAGGGTTCAATAGTACGGATATGGATATGTATGTGTGTGCTTGCACGTCCGATCCGTAAAAATACCTTCGCGGGAGGGTGGCAAAAGGGGGTGGGTGACTCGAAATAGGAATACGAGGCTATTCTACTCCCTCTACATCTCCAATGTCTACGTAACGAGCCTCGAGAATCGATCAATACGCAAGAAGAAACTCACTGGAGGACTTGCACTCCTTTTCTCTCTTATTCCATCATTTTCTTTCAATTTTTTACTTTTTGTCCCCTGCCCTTTTGGTTTTATTCTTATCTGACGTAGTAGTGGACTGCGAAAAAAGCTATATGTAATGATTGAATTAGCCTGATTTACATAGGAAACATAGGAGAATCATTCGATAATGCAATTCTTCGTCAGGGTTCTTTGCGATACGGAAAAAAAAGAGAATCAAGCCATAGTAACGCGAGATAATTTAATCTGTTAAATATAATTTTGTAAACGCGAACATCTCTCTCTTTCTCGGTGCGATTTGATAATAAATTTATGAGAAATATTCGTTTGCGAAAGTGTTTGTCGAAACGTTGTTTCTAAGTAAATTATCGAAATTGAATATTGCGAAAGGGCGTAGTGAAGTTTGGAGATTGTCGAACTCTAACTCATAAATAATTGAAGTTTAAATAGAATTGACAAGGGGTCGGCCGATAGTTCAAGCTCGACAATAGCTTGAATTTCGGATACAGGATGAACGTCCTTCCCGAATATAAATTATTTCAATGCACCTACTAAATCCGTGTTTGTTAGGAAGAGGAAGAGAAACGTGGACTTGATTTTGGCTAAAATCTCGCAAGCTGTGCTCATCAAGAACCAGGTAATATATTATTTCTAGTAGACTCTGATTCTCCCTGCTAAAGCTGTAGAATAAATTAAACGTAAAGATGAATACTCATTCGTTGCAACCCCTTTTCTCAATTAATCCAATCGATCCTCGCGCTGAATCAACGCCGAGAAGAATCGGTTTTACGATAGTCCGAGAAATAGGATTTCCTGAATTACAAATAAAAGTAATTCCTAATCCGGTTTGCCCTAGCCGCAAGGATTGTGTTAGAGACAGAGAGAGAGAGAGAGAGAGAGAGAGAGAGAGAGAGAGAGAGAGAGAAAGAATAGGAAGAAGACGAACAAACAAATGCAGCAGATTTTCAAAGAGCATCCTTTCTCGTTAATTCGATATCTCCGAAAAAGGTGGGGAAAGAAGCGAGAGGAAATTTCAGCTTCGGTATTTAAATATGGATGAACGAAAGGAGTCCCTTTTTACACCCTCTCGCTTTCCTCCTCCTCTGTAGTAACGCACCAGACGGATAGACGTAGGAACAACAGAGCGAGTAGAAACTTGACGAATGGTGCTGGAATAAATTGCAGTCTCGGTATAACGATGACAAACAGATCGTACCGCGATTGGATGGCTCGATGCGTTCGCAGACGATGCAGGGTTTGAAGGGTTGCTGGATCCTACATGCTTGCCTGCCTGCCTGCCTGCCTGCGGATGTAATTTCCGTTTCGCCATATTCGAACTTGTACTTGTACGACACTTCAAACGTCATCCAGATTCCAAAAAGAAACGGAAGAATAAGAATTTATACGATATCTTTCATGTGATACGATAAAAATCATTTCCTTTCTTGTTTTACAAAATAACGAGATAACGTCAATTTGAAAAAACCAAGCTTGACGATATTTCACGTTAGAAAAGCTCAACGATAACGTAAGCGAAAGGGTGGCAGATATTTAAATATGGATAAGCAACCAGAGGAAGGCACAACCCTTTCTCAACAGGGACGCAACCCACAAATAGACTGGGTAACCGTGAAAGTTAGGTCCCGGCAACGACATCTGCCGTTATCTCCTCCTCCCTTTTTAGAAAACGTGCGAATATATTCGGAAGTTGTTGACGTTACCGAGCTTGCCCGGAAATACATAATTCTTTGGCAAGCGTAAATTTGACTTTTATTGCTTGATTTATATATATATTACCTATCTATCGAAAGAGATCAAATACTTGACCCTTAAAAAACGATCTAATAAATTATTAATGCTAACGTACAATTCATTCGATGAAAAGTGTTTCTTCTATCAAATATTTCATCTTTTAACACACTCACTTATCAAAGTAAAAGATCTTACAGGCTATGTAAAAAGCTTTGTCAGATGCATAAAAAATTCATGTTGAAAAAAGGTCAGATAGGTCAAAAGGGGAACAGGAAGCACTTCCATCTTGACGTAAATGAAACTCG